ATAAATTGCAAACATTTTTCTCTGAAGTTTAATCTGCATTATTCCTCTGTTTCCAGCATGTTATTTTAGTCTAACACTGAAAGCTATAGTGTGCAGTCACAGAGAGACCAAAAATCCAGCATCTGTGAACAGCTTCATATCACAAGCGTTATCAGAACCACTATCGTGTTACAGCAGCATCAGAAGGGACTCTGACACTGTGAGCTAAATCCCTTGGCCGCCACGATTCGAGGCTTGGCCTGGCAGTTGTGTACTCGGCAGACGCAGGCAGATGCTCCAGCACTGATGGGCCTGATAGAGCTGGGCATAACACCAAGATACAGGAGCTAAGGGATCAGGTTGGGATTTGAGAAGAGTGCTCAACGCACAACACAACACGGCACAGCACAGCAGAGGACAGTGGGCTTAGTTGGGTTTTGGCTGACATACTAATTACATAAATGCCTAGATATGGGCCGACTGATTGCAGATTGAACTTTGGATGGCACCGTACCCATGTTGTACATACGGATCATTTATATGATGAAATACTGTAATTGTCCTTTGCAAAACCACTTTGAAATTCTTTGTTTTAATTAATTGCATTATATTCATAAGTAAGAAATGCTAGCTTCTGTTCAAAGGATACTGCTTCTACTCAACAGAATGTCTTAAATATGTGTGAATGATCCATTTGATGTATAATTAATGACAAAAAATGCCCAATTTTTTTGTTTGGTGAATACATTAAGCAGAAATGACATAACTTTTGCATAATAATGTGATTTTTCATGTGACTTTTAAGTGACATTCTCTTTGCCTCAGACCAGTTATGCAGACACATTACAATATTCAAGAGTTCATTCGATTTCAGCAGAATCTTTTCTTCCCAGCTACACTCTGTTAGACGAGTATGTATATGTATACAATAGGAATGGGGCGGCTCTGCGAAATGAATCACATTTGCTATGTTTTTTTTGCCGTCTGAATACATTTATTCCCCTACACGTCATTGACATAGAGATGAAGAAAAAGGGATGGCAGTAGAGGGCACAGGAAGAGAAAGGAGATGAGAAAAGAGATGGGGTAGAGAGAGAGAGCTTCAAGGATATCGTTAGAGAAACTGTGAGGGGAGGTGTGGAGAGGGTGCGGCTGGGGGGAGAAAGTCAATTTTTATTTGCAGGGGTGATGTGGCGGTAATGAAGAGGGATGAAACAGCTGCCGCCAGGGCCCGCAGTCCCTCAGTGCTCCAGCCCTGTAGCTGAGTGAGAACCCTATGCCCCGACACACCTCACATGAGACCAGATGGGGACACATATGTCTCATGTCTGGCGGTGCGCAGCCGTTATACGTTCCCTGCAGTATCTTGCGTCCCACTGTATCCCCATGGGCATTCAACAGGTCAACTCTAAAGCGGCCTAAATATCGATTGCAGCAGTTTGCCTTTTTTTATTCCCAGTGATGTATTGCCATGCAAGGCAGTGTCAACCAACATATTTCATGTCTCACAATAAGGTTTAAGCAAATCTGACTCTATTTAATTACATTTAGGAATCAAAACTACATTAGGAACTAAAAGAGGGCTATTTTTAAGGTCAAAGGAAATAACTAACTAATACCACGTGGACACAAATTTCAAAATCTCCAAAATGGTGTACTGCACACACATTACATCATATTTTGCTTTTGCTATCTGTTGCGTGCAGACCACATGATTGAGTGAGGAGGAGGCTTATGTATTGCAAGATCCCTGACAAAGACCCTTGATTCTGAAATCCATCGTCTCACAAAAATACGAGAAATGATGTGACTTTGCCAAAATGGAGCCTGACCAAATTGCAGTTGCTTGCTTGCTTGTTGTTTACTTACTTGTGTGGAAAGAACAAAGAAGAAAACAGGGAGAAAAAAGTCTGGCCTCTCTTTCTCACATGACATCACATCATGTCACGTTATACAAGCATTCATCAAACAAGCATTCATACTCTTTCCACAGCTCTACTAGCCTCCTGTCCATTTTCTGGGTCCATGCAGAGCTTGTGGTGTTCACTATTTCTAATCTTACTACTTGTCATACGTTGGTCACGCTGATTTGTGCATGATTTGGTGCTGATAATTTGGCAAATGTTGGAGTATCTAGGACGGCACACTGACAGGGTAAAGAATGTTTGTGATGGGGATGAGTGGTGATTTGTCTCCAGTCTGATCCAAAAAAAATGTCAGAAACAGACAAGTGTGTGCACTTGGCATAAATGTAAGCTGTTCCTGCTCAACTAATGAATGCAAAGTAGAAATTATGGCTACAGGTTTTCATTCTACACAAGCACACCTGATTCTACTTGTTTAATCAATTGCTCAGTCTACAAACAACTGATCATGTGTGCTCCTGCTTTGTTGGAATGAAAACCTGCAGTTATACTGGCCATTTGTGGATAAGATTGGACACCCCTGCCTTAACTGATGTATGAAATGGGTTGCATTACTGAATTTCACCACCAGGGCAACACTTGAAGATGAGCTGCTGAAAGGTTTTATTTTCCCACATGGACTGCACTGCAGAGGTGAGGGGGTGGCAGCATGAATGCAGCACCTTCTTGTTATCCTCCTTTACTTCTCTCTCTTTCTCACCCCCACAAAAGGCACCGTCCCTCACTTTCGCCCTTCAATAGGTTATATATTATTTTTCAAGATTCTGCGTGGTGGTGTTGCATAAATCTGGTGGAAAGCCTGGTGAGTTTCATGAGTCCTGGCTAATAAACGCTTCTTTTGGGTTCACAACACTGCCCACTTCAAAGGACAAGAGTCTCAAACAAGCGCTGGGTACTCATTAGCTTGAAGTCGATAAAAGAGAAAAAACATGGCGTGGAGAAATGTCGCGCTATGTTGAGGTATGGGTTGGTGTCTGCCATGCTAGTCAATCAAAGCAACATTAACTCCCACTGTCAACACTGTTCTGTTTCTTCCCTTCGCCTGGGCATGTTATCTCCACCGCACACAGACAACCACACGAGTGGCTAAAGAGGGAGACAAAGGAAATCAGTCATATTGTGAAAAGCTGAATAAAACCAGCTATGTCCCTGTCAGAGGGAGAGGGCCACATGGGTGGCTGCTTATTAATATCAACGCGCCGCTTTGCAGAGTGGCAGCATTGAGTGACGGCTGGATAGCAAAACGGAGGGAAGAGATGGGGGGTGGCTAATGGCACGTCTGCGTGCAATTTGCGTTGCGGAACAACAAATTGCTGGCTAATTAAGAGTGTATCGATCAACATGGCCCCTGCCTTAGCGGTGCCTCTTACCGCCGGAGAGACAGTTCTCATCTTGTGCTTAATTGTCCCTTCTCTGTAATAAATAAATTTACATCGCCCAGTAGCTGTGATGCCAGGGAAATCATCAGCTTTCGAAATGTCATCTCTCCTAGCAGCGTGGACTGGCCTGGCTAATTCCTCCCATGCCACCCCCTCCAACCCTCTACTGCCCAACTGACATGCACAGATTTCCGGCCTGCTGTCTGCTGGGGGGGTAATTCAAGAAGCAGAGCAGATATCAGCATCCTAATCGGTCAATCAGGGACAAACCTTTTGCTAAGCCTCTTCATCACTCTCTCCAGTGAGATGGAGCATTCATTCTGCAATTGTGGGCATAAAGAGAGCAGGAATGTGGCTGTAAAGGTGTAAATTTGATTAGTAGCAGGCAGAAGGAGGATCAAGACTGGGAGGCTAAAGGAGATTGTTCTGCAGTGTCTACCGCTCAACCTGGCTACGGCCTCCTGAGGTGGTTGGGTCTGAAGATCCTCATGATTCCTTTTTTCCCAGGAGGGAGTAGTGCAAGAAACTCTCTTAGTCGTAAGAAAACGAAAGGGCTTGTCTTGTTTTAGTTTCCATGATTTTCCTGACACTGCAGCTTATGTTTTGCGACACTTTCTGAGCTCCGCGGGTGCAATGGTGTCTCACCAGTGACATTAGGGAGCGACTCACCTGTCTCTTACTCTTCAGTTCTTAGGTACGAGCCAGCTTTGAGCTAAAACAGCTTACATGTATTCATGTCCATGCTTAAACAGCAAAGGACCCTGAGAAGAAGTCTTCATACATAACTAGAACAGAAAGCTCATCAGTATTTAACCATGTTTCTAGAAGCTCAAACATTGAAAGGTCAGCCTCCAAATGGTGCAAGGTCAGTCCTAGCGAAGCACTTGATTTGATTGAGGGGGATGTTCATTATTTCGTCAGCTCTCTGTCATTCACGCCCTGTGCTGCACCGGCACATTGTTCACTGGGGAATCACGGCCCCAGTCAGAGATAATTGTGCTGCATATTTAAGGTAATTAAGGAGCGTGAGGTTGACTGCATATTCAAGACCCCATTTTTAACTCATAGGATATTATGCAGAAAAATCCCACAGTGAGAACTGGGTGATCCAACATTGTAACAGGGCTCACTAATCCGCTTGGACTTCCATTAGTTGTATCATTTTTCTCACTTGCTCCCTCACCCAAGGACTTTGTGCATGTCTAGCAAGTTGCTGGCCTGCACTTAAAATTAAACCCTGACATGTTTGTGTCTCAATCATAGCCGGACCCAGCTTTGTGGAGCATGAATCAGGAGAGACTTCATTTACCCCCTGAGAGCACCTCACAAGCTTAAAACAGCAAAGAAAGTGGTCCCTGATTTTCAAAAAAATTGGACGTTGAGGTTGGAGATGTTGAAGGCAGCTATTTTTTAAAAGTTTTTTTTTCTTACAAAGTTTATTTGAGGTGATTTGCAGTGACTGCCGCTCCCACCTGAAAAGCGGCAACAGCAGAAAACATTCAAAGTATAAAGGATCAAAGATGCTGACCAAAATCATGCTGTCATTCCCTCCCCATCCCTCTCACTTCATTCGTTGTGCCCTATCCACTTTTCTTCCTCTTCCTTCACATATTGCTTCATCTTGACTTATCTTCCCTTAGGTACTGTCTGATGCACTTAACTTGTCTCACCTTCTAACCTTTACTTTCTCTCACAGTCTCCCTCTCCCTCTCGATAGGGCCGTCGCTGGACACCGAGAGCCTCTTCCTGATGACAGCAAAGACAACATTACCATTTTCACCCGGATTCTGGACCGCTTGCTGGATGGCTATGACAACAGGCTGCGCCCCGGCCTCGGAGGTGAGCCACAGATTTGTGTTCTGCTTTCCCTGAATCCACTCTCCAGTGTCCACTTATTGGCCTCACAGTGTGCAGTGATGGATTTGGGTAATGATGCAGCCGTGGATTGGATCCCTGGCACTACGTGACCCCCATAGAGCTCCCTCAGCATAGCCCCATCTCTCATTACTGGCTCTGTTTCACGCACACAGCTCTTTACAATTACTTCTCCTCTCAGATCCGTAACAAATTGCTTTTTGGAACAGCGAAGTTACTCATCTTCTGCCGGCGCGGTGATGTTTATCAATATTGGGGGAAAAGAAAAAAAGTGCCACAAAGCTGCACAGACTGATGCTCTCATGAGATCACTTACAACTCCTAAAGCCTAAGGAGCCCCAGAAGACTGCAGCATTACAGCTCTCTGATAAAGATGGAGAGGAACTCAGCCTCGCCTGTTGTGGAGATAAGTCACCATTCCAGACTCCTTCAGTAGGCACAAAGGAGTTCATCTGGTGTGCCGATTGCTTGAGACGCTGACTTCATTTAGGTACCTGCTGTTTGAGAATTGGAAGTAATTACCTGGTATTGAAGTATTCTTGAAGTGAGTTAAAGTGGAAAAACAGTCCTAGTAATTGCTGTTCTAACTCCTCAAAGACCAGTAATGTAAGACTGAATGGCAGTATTTCTAGCACCGAAATATTATCCATTATTTCTTTCTTCCTCTTAGTCTTGCAGGGCCAGACATGATTTTGTAACGAAAATGCTGGCTTTGGTGCTGGATTGTGGCTAAAACCACCTCTAAGAAAGATAGGCCCCTCTAAAACCCACCTCTAGATTCCTCTTGTCTGTGGTATTTTATCTCCAAAGTCCATCAAAACAAGCAAAACAAGCCAGCTAGCGAAATGCTACTGTTAGCTAATGGCCCTTCTTCAAGAAGATTGTTTCAGGAACACTTGATTTAGTTTTGTCAGAGATGTGCTTGATGCACAACATTGATTCCATTGATTCCAAGCACTACATATACTTTGTTTGAAGATAGTGACTCAGGTAACTGATATCTTTTAAGGCTAAATTGTAGTCTGGTTTATCAGAACCATTTTACCTTTACAAGAGATAATGTTTCATTTTCTCATATCTAATGTATTCTTTGCATGGGACTTTTAAGGCTTGCTAACTTACAGTACATGTATGAGCCCATACTTAGAAATTTCACGCTCTGTTTGTTCCCTATGGTGTTTAACCCAAAAATTCTAATGGTTGTCCCCAGACATTCTCATTACAAGATCACATCTGGCCCCACAAGACTTTCAATTGCTCTGTCTCTCTCTCCATGGAGTATCACCAAGTAGGTCTTAGGTGACTTATAATTGTGCCTACCGAGAGAGAGATGTGTGATAAATGGTGTGTTGGACAGCGTACTCCATTACGGCACACTGGAAGGCTTCTGTCAGCTGAGTTCAACTCCAGACTCTGTACCAGCCAGCCTGGCAGCCACCCACACACTCTGCTCCCCACTCCTCTTTCGAATTATTCCCTTCCCAGCCATTACATCAAAGTTAAACCTTGGGATGCTAATTTGAAACCTTGTACCATAAGTTTTTTTTTTTCTTTTCTTTTGTTGTTCTGCATTCGGGCAGTTTTCGGGAGTGGGTTGTTTTGGGTTTGTTTACGTCCAGTGTTCTCTTAAGCACTGCCTGTGATGCATTGTATAGTAATGATTGTGTCAGATGAGGCATGGTAAAAACATTAGCTGAGATAGACAACCCTATATTTTTCCTGTTTTTTTTTTTTCTTCTTACCATTGTTCATTAACTGTGGAGTAGTCTGCTGCTGTGATAGGAGCCCACTCAGAAATTAGGGACTTTGTTTAGATTTTGGAGTGTGATAAGTTTATTTCATTTTAATTTTAGTTCAAGTGAAATATCTCAGAATTTACAACAGTATGACCTCCTCTGTTATGCTTGGATCTTACATCTACACTTTTCTTTCTCTTTTCTGTCTGACTAGAGAGTGTGACTGAAGTTCGAACTAACATCTACGTGACCAGTTTTGGACCAGTTTCAGACACAGACATGGTAAGTGTTTTGTCTTTGATAAAAGTGTCATTCATAGCTGAGGAAGGTCATTCTCTGGCAGAGTGAGTTCCAGTTGTCACTTACGCTAAAAGCACACTTTAAATACAAAATGTGATCACGTTCTGTGTCTATGATACCAGTGACATGGTGTTACATGGGGACAGTTCACAGTTATGTTGGTTATTTGGTTAACTCTATTAACCTATCTGCATATCAGTTTATGGTGGACATTTCAGTGGGGTATTTGTTCCTTTAACAACATTCCTGTTTTAGCTGAAAAATTTTTGTGTTCCAAAAAAAAAACATGCACCATTACTGGTGTCACTGGGTTATAGCACTGTGTTGACATTTTTCTTTTTTTGATGGATTATCATCTATCTAAATGATGTGTTCCTGTCTCTCTTATGTTTTTTTAAAGTCTGTATTAATCAGTTGTTTTGTACTCTCCCTTCAATGATTCTATAGCTTCATGAAAGAAATCATAAACATACCCTATGAATATATTTTTATTACATGGCTTTTGACTGAACAGTAAAAACTCTTTGCTATACTGCTTTTCATTCAGTGTATTCATATGGAAAAATGTACGTCATTTTTGAGAAAATAACGCCTTTCGATGTGGTGACATCATTAACATAAGTACTGACACAAATGCTACCCTGTTTGAAGAAAGACAATGAATGAATTTTGTAATTTCTTGTTAATTTACGTCTCTCAAAGCTCTAATAATACATGTCTGGCAAGATGTTCTGCATTTCAAACGAGTTTTGTTTGAGACTTGGCTTTCATGGCACTGGAAACAAACAGTTGAATGTGAGAAACTGGAGATGTTTCCATTGCCCTTAAAGTCATGTAGAATCACTTGTCAAATGGGGCACAGAGGAAGATACGGTGCTGAGCTTTTCTTCTGTCTGTCCCAGTGAGCGAATGAGCATGATGTTTCGTTATAGGCTCATTTAAGAGAGAAGGTAATTGGTAGCGAGGCGGCATGGAGGAAATGCATGCGTCTTAATCATACACACAATTGGCTCTGGCACGCAAGATGAATCACCGTAGCCACGTGGCAGCACTTTGTATTCTGTATAAGACCTAATTTCCTAATGGTGAGAAGAAAACAGTACAGTCTGTTGCATTATATGGAGCGTAAAATGATACTTGAATTACAAAGCAATAATTACCTCCGTTAACATTAACATAATCATCCTTTGAGTTTGAAAAAAATAAGAGATTTTGTACAGTAAGTTTGTACATATGATTTATTAATCACACAAAATAAATAAATAAATAAATAAATAAAACAGCAGGGCCATTTTAACAAATGAGAAAGGAAACTAATTAGCATGGTATTATGCAATATTGGTTGCTGTGAGGACAGCCTGCACTCAGGGCATTATAGGAATGTACTTTACTGCTAGCTAGATTACAAATGCATTCGAACAGCTGTGTGGTTTACCCCCAGTGTTCCTGGGTCTCCAGCAGAATCTATCCCACCCTCCAGGCCCAGCATTAGTGCCATTATATCGGGATTGAAAGTACAGCCTTGTGGAGGCATGACATTATGTTGTACTTAAAGATATGAAGAAAAGGCTCTGAGTGGAACAGTCAGAATCAGAATCAGATTTATTGGCCAAATATGTTGACACAAACAATGTACAAATCATTTACAGACAATACACAATGTACAATATGCACAATATACACAGTATACAAGCAATATGCAGACTGTGTACTGACAAGTAAAATACAGACAATGTACCTATCATTTACAGACAATACATAATATACAAGGTTGGAATGGCTGGTAAAGAGTAGGATATTCAAGTGATGAGCTCTGCTGCTGACTACAGTGGACATTTCTAATGTTGAGGAGAGAAATGTTTCTCATTTTATGAGGCCATCAGGGCAGCCGCTGGTTAGTTCTGCAGCACTAGAGACAGCACACTTCTTCACTGTCCATCGTGTCTTTTTGTTTGCCATGTCTTTAAGTCTTTAGTCTATCCTTCACTCACCATCTCTTTGTCTACCTCTGTTCTCACTCATTGCCATATACATGTGGGTCAGTCCCAAATACTTCTTTCAAAGCTCTGATATGATTTGAAAATCTTATAAAAAAAATTCTTATAAAAAATGAGCTGTGCATTTTTGTATCTTCAAGAATGTTTCAAACATTATTATAATAATAACACATTTTCATGGTTTTCTGGGGTCACATTTAATTTGGTAAACTGAACCAGTCTAAGGATGACTCAAAAAAGACAGTTTTTACAATATTTGGGAAAGAGTTGATCTTATTATTGGCATAGTCATTTGTGTCATTTTTATGGTGTCATACCCTGACCACTATTTCTTAAAAGCATGCATTAATAAAAGTCCTTTGTTCTCAGTTGTGCTGTGTGACATTTAAGGAAATCAGAAATATGGACAAAGGTTTTTCAATGAGTTTAAAACTTTTAAAGCAGCTTTTCTGTTCAACAGGTTATGATTTCAAAGCTTTTAAACATTGTCACACCAAACTGTTTTATTTTGCATTTTATATGACTAAATTAACTGTTTAATAGTTTACTTAATCTGCATTTATGGTTGGACCGTTGCACCACCAGACATTTTTAGACTGTGCTTCTTGTGAAGTGCATGGTTTAAAACACAGATTGCGAGCATGTATCATGGCTGTATCAAGGCACATTTTGTGTTTTTCTGCATAAACTGCATGCTCAGGCTTCTCTACTCAGTTTTGTGCACAACATGTGGACATAATGCATCCTATTTGCATCCTGGTTGTCTTAAACGGTCACAAATGGCTTAGTACATCCGGCCCCCTGTTTTTTTCTTCCTCTTTTATTTTCTCTACACCCATATTTTACTTTCTATTTTTTTCTTTTCCATTTCTGTCCTTGTCATCCTCTTCCAATTTTTCAAAATCTCCTGCTTTCCTTGGTCTATCTTCCTTTGTACCCTATTCCTTCATTAGTTTCTTTCTCTGCCGATCTTGAACGATTGCTCCATTTTGTCCCATTTGTTCACTCATCTACGCTATCATTGAAACACCACCCCCACCACCCCTGCACACACACATACACATGAATACTCTCTCCTTGTGGGCTTTGTCTGACGAGCCAGGCATGGTGAAATTGAGGCCAGTCTAATCTGCCCCAGGTGCTGTGTTGAGCCTTGTGCATGCTGAGGATGGCAGCGCCAGTCAGGGGCTCACCCCGAAAGCCAGGGAAGTTCTCTTCTCATTTAAAAAATGCTCTGTCGCGCAAAGATACCACTGACATCAGTAGCTCCAATATGTGCCGGACCAGAACTTGTCTTTTTAAAAGTCTTTTATAGCAACAAAGACTCTGGTTTTCCCCCTTTTCCTTTCCTGAACTTTACTTGATTGTGGTGTACATCTTTGATTTCAGTTGAAAAAGGTTTCTCTCTGCAGCCAGTTCAGCAGAAAACAACCCAAGGCCTTTCTGGTAGGTAACAGGTTGAAACCTAATGATGACAAAGTCCTGTGGTTGTAGCTTTGTGACCAGTGGCCATTTCTTTTTTAATACTGTGAAGATAGGTATTAACCTCCCTTCTTTCAAGGCTGACCATTTTGCCTCTCTCTGCTTCGACTCCCCCTTACTGCCCACTGGCCTGTTTTAGGGACCCAGTTGCATTTTATTTTACCATGTGTGGTGCCATACAGCAAAAACAACTGGAAACCTGTGTTATAAGAGACCTCCCCCGAAACAACCCAGAACACAATGTTTTTTTGTTGTGTTCCATGTTGGTGGTGTAAGCTTTGGCCATTCACATCTATCACCACCATGTCCTTGCTCAAGGGGATGCAAAAGCCAAATTAGTCTTCCTGTAGCAAAAATAAGAAAATAAGGAAGTGTTGGAGAGAGGCTAACTGAGAAATACAGCCACTGTTGCCAAGGCTCTTCCAAAAACATGTGCTTCAGGGGAAACCTGCCTGGCGAGCACTGGATCTATAATTTGCTCTCTTTTTCAAGATGCCGGTTTTAATTTCCCTTTCCTGTCATATTATGACAAACTCACATTCAGGGGTGAATGTAAGTGTTAAAAGCTTAACGGGCAAAGTCTAGTCGAAGACAATTTGCATCCTTAATAGGTGGCATCCACGAGAGGCGACATTGTGTTACCATAGCTACAAGTTGTTATGCCGACTCCCACAAATCCATGCTGTGTAATTGCAAGGCAACTTAAGACCCCGGCTTCCCAAGCCTCCCTTATAAAGGGCATTTTTTTATCTCTCCGTGCTTGTTTACCTCTGTTTCCCAGCCTTCTATCTCTAATGATCTTTAATTTGTGTTGTGGAAGATAAAACATTTATGTTGGGTAGCAAACCAGAGTTTCAATTATGAGTGCACCGTGGTTTGATACACATGCAAACTAAAATCTGTTGTGACTTATGAAGCTTTAAAAAAATAATAATAAAATAAAAACTGCTCTGAGGTGAACCACAAGGCTTTGTCATTTCCTTCAGAATAATTGCCATGAGGCAGGGGAGACATAATAAACTGTGGGGTGCATGCCTTATCATCGTTCAAATGAGATGAGTCTGCTGCAGATCCAAGCCATGCAGTGGACTCAAAGGACTAAATTTGACATGTCACATAATCAATATTAATCATAAGCGAGGAGAAGTCGACAGCTTACAGAAGAGCTAGTTGGCTGCGGAGGGACTTAGATCCCTGTTGAAATCACAGTTATTTAATGCAAGTGCTGCATGAAATATGAATGGCAACTCATCCTTTTGGACGGGCCACACTAAGTATGTATGATCCACAGTGGCAATCTGTGGAAATAATGTCTTTCATTATGGGCCTCTTGTGTGATTCTTATGTCATTTTTCAGGTTATCTGCCTCATGCAAAGCAAATCCTGTTAGCAGCTCATCAGTCAGCATGTGCTGAAACCACAGCAAAGACAAATGTCCACTGTTGTACTGGCAACCTGTGGTCTGCTTAAAATATATAATGCTCATTATTTTTCATAATCAAA